TGATTGATAGATATGTAGAAGGCATGAGAGAAACAGAAAATCAGCATTTAGAGTCCTACAGTAATAATTCCTGCAGGAAAGAGCTGCTGCTGAATATTTAAATTAGTGGGCAAAACTCTGAGAAACGGGATATTTGCCTAGCTTCAAAGTATCTCCCCCAAAGTATGTGTTAATTATCATGATGGTTTTAACATCTGTCCAAACGTGCTTTGAGGGGGGCGGCCCCCCCCCCACTCCAGGAAGTGGAGCTTAATTCCTCTGGACTCACTGACTCACTTCTAACGAATAGGGTATAGAAAAGGAAAAATAATAACTTCACAATGAGCAAACCTGGAAGACACCACCTTCACCAAGTAATGAAGGTTAATAACATCACCATAATGTCATGTTCATATAGTTTACCCCTGGCGACGTGGTGGGAAGGGTACTTTACCTCTGCAGCGTTCTTCCCCCAAACCCGTAACTTCAGTCTAATCGTGAGAAAACATCAGGTAAAACCAGATTGAGGGACATTCCGCAAAATGCCTGACCAGGACTCCTTGAAAGTGTCTTTGAAAACACTCTTTGAAAACAAAGGGTGAGAAAACTGTCACTGAACAGAGGAGACAGGCTGACTAAATGCAGTGTGGGATCCTGGATTGGGTCCTGGAACAGAAAAGGGACTTTCAGAGGAAACTGAGAAAAAATTAACATTAAGTCCTTATTTTAGTTAGTACCAGACCAGTGTTAATGTTCTGGTTTGCATGAATGTACCATAGCTGCTTAAGATGTTAACATCAGAAGGAGCTGGGTGAAGATATACCGTGACACTCTGCTGTCTTGCCACTGCCCCATAAATACAAAATTATTTCAAAATAAAAAGGGGGAAAAAAAGAGAATTAGAGGAGTGACAGGATTAGATTCATTGGGAAGATGAACCCCAATGGTTGCGGTGGAAAAGAAGGCCGGAAGGGGAAAGACCAGCGTGAGACCTTGCCAGGTTGTGCTACAAAAAGTCAGGAAGAGATGATGGAGGCCCAGATGGGAACAGCGACAGCAGGAGTCCGAGGCCATGGGCAAGCTGGAGAGATCTACCGGAGAAAACTCAGTCAGACCAGGTGATGGTTTAGATAAGCAAGTGAGGGAGCAGCGGGCTCAAGATGACACCCAGTTTTCTGGGAGTTAGATGGGTAATGATGTCATCCACTGACGTCAGCAATGGAGAAAACAGGAAGAACAGGTGTCAGGAAACCAGTAGTTTGGTTTTAGTACTGCTGAGTTTGGAGTGCATTTGAGAGATCCAAGTATCCACTGGGCAGCGGGATCTATGGGCTGGCGGGTCAGGAGGAAGAGCCGGCCGTAGACTGATGTGGAGAGTCACTGGCACGTAAAGAGTGGTTGAGGCCAGTGAAAGAATGACATGACCCAAGGAGAGGGGATAGAGAAGATAAGGCATGAACACAACCATTGAGGGGGTAGGCCCAGGAAGGGGCAAGGGGACTGGAGCGTGTCCAGAGAGGTGGTGACAGCATAGCGTAGGCACTCACGGCTAGGTCCTAGAAGCCCAGAAGACCGGCTCTGCCCACCCACCCATTCTGTGACATGGAGCAAGCTATTTAATCTAATAAGGCTGTTGTCAGGAGCATGTGGCACACTCTATGTAAAGTTCCCAGAATAGAGCTGGGACTCTTGGTGTTAGAGGAATGTTGGCTAATTGGAGGCAAAGGAAAACAAGGGTGGTGGTCTGGGAGCTAAGGGAAGAAGGTGGTTCAGAAAGGAGGGCATGTATTTCATACCCCTTAAGATAGCTATTATCAGAACAGTGGAAAATAATTAGCATTGGAAAGGATACGGAGAAATTGGAACCGTCATGCATCGCTGCGGGGAATAGAACATGATGCAGCCACTGTGGGAAACAGTTTGGTCTTCCTGAAAAAGTCAGATGTGGAATTACCGTATGATACAGCACTTCTCCTCCTTGGTATGTGCCCCAAAGAACTGAGGGCAGGGACTCAAACAGATACTTGTACACTCATGTTCAGAGCAGCATTCTTCACAGGAGCCAAAAGGTGGAAACAAGCCACCCACCTGCCAACAAAGGAACGGATAAACAAAATGTGGCATATGCATATAATGGAATATTATTCAGCCTAAAATAAACGAAGTACTGATACACGCTACAGCATGATGAACCTTGAAAAGGTTACGCAAAGGAGAATAAGGCAGACACAAGAGCACAAATATTGTATGATTGCAGTTTGATGAGGAACCTAGAGTAGGCAAATTCAGAGAGATAAGAAGGTCGAATAGAGACTACCAGGGGTGGGGCACCTGGGTGGCTCAGTCGGGTGGGCATCCAACTCTTGGTTTTGGCTCAGGTCACGGTCTCACAGTTTTGTGGGTTTGAGCCCCACATCGGGCTCCGCACTGTCAGCTTGGATTCTCTGTCTCCCTCTCTCTCTCTGCCTCTACCCCACTAGCGCTGTCTCTGTCGCAAAATAAATACATACACTTTAAAAGAGAGAGAGAGAGAGAGAGAGGCGGGGGGGGGATTACGAGGGGTTGGGGGAAGGAGAATTGGGGAGTTATTGCCTCTGCCTGAGATGATGAAACAGTTCTGGAAATGGGTGGTGGTGATGGTTGCACAACATTGTGAGCGTACTTTAAAAAGAATTTTTTTTCATGTTTATTTTTGAGAGAGACAGAGTGTCTGCAGGGGAGGAGCAGAGCAAGAGGGAGACACAGAATCCAAAGCAGGGTGCAGGCTCTGAGCTATCAGCACAGAGCCCGATGCGGGGCTTGAACCCACAAACCGTGAGATCATGACCTGAGCTGAAGTTGGACACTCAACCGACTGAGCCACCCAGGAGCCCCATGGGAGCGTACTTTAATGCCACTGAATTGTACTCTAAAAAATGGTTAAAATGGTAAAATTTTATGTTGTGTATATTTTACCATCATATTCAAAAATCGAGGACATGGTTCACGCTGCAGAGAAGTCAAATAAGATAAGCCCTATGAAATTAGCCTCTGCATTTTATGACACAGGGGCCATTGGAGACAATTCCAGAGCCCTTGTAGTGGAGCAGAGGTCAAAAGCCAGATTACAGTGGGTTGAAGGACGATTGGGAAGTTGTCTGTACCAGGGGCTGGCAAACTACAGCCAAATCTGGCCTCCTGCCTGTTTCAGTGAAGTGTTTCTGGAACACAGCCCCGCCCTTTAGTGTATATTTTGTATATGGCCGCTTGTGTTCTGGGACCGCAGGGTTGAATAGCTGCCACAGAAATCACATGGTTTGCAAAGCCAAAAATATTTACTATCGAACGCTTTACAGAAAGTTTCCCAAACCCTGGACTGGACAAGACCCCCCGGTCTTTCAAGAGCTTTGGCTTCCTTGGACGACGCCTGCATTTCTGATGAGGTTGTTGAGCAGACGACAGCGCCCCTTCGGTCGGCAGCAAAAAAACACACCCGAGGCTGAACAATAATAATAATAATGAATGAGAAGGAGGAAGAGGAGGAGGAGGGAGAAGAGAAGAAATTCCATCCTTCCTTTGTCTAACTGGAGATACTATCTCCAACGTACTCTCTGTTTCTTCTAGCCTTGGAAAAAGGGATTCTAAGTCCCTTCACCCAACCCCCCAAAAAACTCCCCACTAATAATTTGTCACGTGACTAGTGATAGATAATAAATGTTCTGAGGTGATTACAAACTACGGTTGGTTTGAAGTTTCCTAAGGAATGCAAGAAAATGTCCACAACCTGAGTTAATTTCCTTTCTGGGACTGAATGTTGATATTTATTTCAGATCAAAGAGAAAGCTGATGTCTTCAGCCCTTACTGTGCATCAGGAGCTGTGCCAAGTTTGGGGCCTAGGTGATCTCATGGATAGTCATCAAAACCATCAGGTGGCCTTTCCCCATTTCAGAGGTGGGGCGGCTGGGGCTCACTGGACTCAAATACCCTCCCACAGACCCCCCAGGGAGTTAGTGGTAGACCTGGGGTTTGAACTGACATCTCCCTGGTTCCAGGGCCCAGGCTGTTCCACTGCATCAGAACGTACTCTTGTGACCATGCTAAGCAGAATCTAATACTTGGTGGGTTCTCAACCTATTTTAAACAATGAGCCGTTAGTTCATAGTAACAGGCCACTTCGGGTGTGTCACAAGGAGACCGTAGGCTTTTGCAAGACCCACTGCCCAGCCTGCTCCCATGCTCCCCCTGTCCCCAAGCCCCACGTTGACGGTCAAGCTGATGCTTGCTACCCAGAGGTATTTCTCGAAAACCATCACGCTTTTCCGTGCTCTCTGCCAGTGCCGTCTAGCACCTGGGCTTCATTATTCCCACCTTACCATTTATTTTTACACAGTCTGTAAGAATTCCTCAAGCTCTTGGTTGGGCACAGTGCCCCAGGGAGATCGCAAGAGGGGGACAGAGTGGCTTCTTCAGTTCCCATCCGTTCGTGCCCCTATGGTCAGTGCACGAACACACAGCACCCTTATGACGTGTTTCCCCTTCGAGGCTGCCCTCGATAACACAGCCAGCCTTGGACTGCCTGGATTCCTGCAGCCTTCAAATCAGAACCAAAAGGGAATTCCGAGGTCATCTACCCAACCCTTGATCATACCGGGAGGAAAACCAACCGAGGCCCAGAATGGGTTGACAGTGTTAACCCAGGCAGACAGCTTGTCGGTCGGCAGCGGACCCCGGACCGGGAAGGCTTCAGGTCTCCCAGCTCACGGCTGTAGAGCTCCCTGCCGCCTGATGAAGCAGGGGTCTTCCCCCTGCGTGCGGAGTGCTTACCTTGGGGCCCTTTTCATGAATGAGACCAGATGCAGAACTCCACATTGATCATTTCTGTCCCTCCCCTTTCTGCTTTCTGTTAAAGGCAGCCCCCCAGCTCCCAGCTGGCTCCTGTCCCCTCCCCCAGCCGGGAGAAGTTATTACATGAAGAGATCAGCTTACCAGTTTTCTTCAGAGCAGAGGCTGAGCTCGGAGCTCCGGGTAGTACAGTGAGGGAGAACGGAGGGAACCAGCGCAGTGCCTAGCGGAACTCCAGGGCTGGAATCCCGAGACACAAGTGCATCTGCTAGCTGTTAGCACTTGGCAGACGGAGTTCTCCTCTAGGGTGGTTCTAACTTTGGGTAATAATGTTTGTCAGCTACCTGATATTAACACTGCTCCACGTTCAAACAGCAGTGTTAGCAAGACCTGGGGGAGAGGTAAGCCAAATAAAATATCTTGTCAGAAGTTGTATTTTTGTCAGCACGGTATTTCCTTTTCTATCTACCAAGAGGGAAGAGGGGCTGGGTTTTTATGGGGTGCAAAGAGGAATGCTTTATATTGCTTTTTTAGGCTTGCTCTGCCTTTTCTTCCAGAAGGACTTCTTTTCTTCTTGGAGAATCCCATCATTTCTAAAATCTCATTCTGAGGTTGTCTGTACAGTTGCCCCACTGGGGAGTTGGCATGGCCTTGGTGACAGATGCCTGCAGCGTGCACGTTTCTCCTCCTGCCGTTGTAGGAAAAAAAAAAAAAAATGTGCGTGTCAGATTCCGATAGGGACTGTTACCTTTTGAGAATTTTCCTCCAGTGTTGCAGAAAGGATACGCATGCTAGAGGAATTGCTTTTCTTGACTGCTTTTGCATCACATTTTCCTCCCTTTCTGCCTGGATGTGCTTGAAAAAAAATCTGTGTTTAACTTTATGTCATAGGTTTGAAGAGGAATAGCGATACATGACAGGGCTAGGACTATGCCCAGATCTACTACGGCAGGAAGGCGTGTTTAAGGCCCAGCAGGATGATTTATTCTTACGGGTTTAGCTCCTATGTGTGCTGAATACATCTTTGAACATCATAGATGCTCTGGGAGCCAGGTCTTGATGCGGGCAAAGAGACTGGAGGGGGACCGTGTAGCCTGGAGAGGGAAGCACTTAGGGGTATCTACCCTCACCTGCAAACAAGCCTGCAACGAATGTGCTCGTCCGCTGCTTTTGCTCTTTCCTCTGACGAAAGGTCTCCAAGACCGATCAGTGCCCGAGTAATGAATGAAAAGACAGCCTCTTTCCCGAACTCATCTGCCTCTTTGAAAAGCCAAGTGAAAAGTCCATCTCCTAAAAAGGCCAGGGGCCACATCACAGCTTTGCCTTTTGTTGGCATTGTCAGGACAGAGCGGGCTCTGAAAGCTTAATGTGATTACTTTCCCTTCTCTGCAGTGGAAGCAAGAATGCTCCCAAAGCCAGGCTTCGGGTAGAGCCGTGGCTCTATCAGCAGCAGGCTCGCTGGTCGGTTCAAAACAGACATGTGGCTCAGAGGTGTGCAGCAACGGGTCATTTGTTTCAGGCTTTTAGCCTATTAGTTACCCGTGTCCTCTGCTCTGCAGATATTTTCTGGGCCTGTGCGGGGGTCGGGGTCTTGAATGGGAGCTGGAGGGACTGAATGGGTTTGTGATGCTGGAAAGCTGAGAGCAGACCATTGCCCTCTAGTTGTGGCTGGAGTTTGCGACTTCCCTGTTGGTTTTTTACTGTGTGGAGTAAATGACAAATGGGCCGGCCTGACTCAGCCTGGAGCACTTCAGCATGTGTGAGGAGAGCTCATATGGAAAATATTTCTATCACCACTGCATGCGCATATGGTATGGGGAGCCCCCCCATGCAGAGCGAATCGCAGCGCTCCAGCAGCCCCTCAGTGGCGGACCAATTACTCTTATTAACAGCAAGGCTAAGGGCAGGCTTCAGTTACCTGCACACAGCTGGCTCCTGGGGAAGGCCACTCTGGAATGTGCGTGCCTCAAGCCCGGTGTCACACGCGGAGAGGCGAGCGGCCCTGTTTCTCTTTGCAGTCAGCAAGGCAGATGAAAAATGAAAGGGGATTACACTGGCTCCCCCAAATCTTGATGCCGTTCAGACAACACTCAGCACTCGGGAGAGGAAGGCAGAAGTTCTGTCTTTCGAGTTAAGGTCTATGCGCTTAGTAGCCAGAAAACCCAATCAGAGGTGACGCGGTGCCACTCTCCCACGCCTTTGTTCTGTTCCGCTTTGCTAAATAAAGACCCTCCTGTGCCTCTTCCTCTTCCCTTGTTGTCCCTCTTCTGAGTGTGTGTGCACCTACACCCGTGCACACACCGGGGCAGAGCCTCGGCGACATCACTGCTGTGCTCCTAGGAAATGGTACAATTAGGATTCCTTTCCCCTCGTTGGAATTGAAATGACGAGGAAGGAACATGAATATGCCAGTAGCTCCCCCTCCCTCCCTAAAAAGAATGTAGTTTATACAGAGCTTTGAAGAATGTGGCATTTATTTATAAGAGCCTCCTTTTTTTATAGGCCTGTTGCTTACAAAACTCACCCATAAACATGTGGCGTCGTCCCCAAGTCACCAAGATTTTCTTTTGCGCTGCCAGCTGGTTTCCTTGCAGGTTTTAATTATCATCCCTGTGGATGTTCATAAAAACGCATGAGGAAAAGGAAGAAAGGGGGAAGAAAGCATTGTGCTCCCAGTGTTGTTTAGCTGGTGTGGCTCTGCGTGGGGCTGGAGGCCACGCAGCGGACTCTGGGTAGCAGCTCAGGGTCGGTTTCCCAGATAAGCAGGGGCTGGCAGGTGGTGGGAGGAGGGGGCCTTATGCCAAGCAAGTCTTATCTGGGGTCCTGTCGCTGACACTGTTGGCACCGGTAACTGTGAGCCAAGGACAAACAACCCGGTCTGGGGTTGGTGCATGGGTTTGAGAACAAACACGGGGAAGGCCTGTTCCTTCCTTGATTTTCCGGTGGCAGGAGCATTTAGGTTCTTAGGACCTTGTAAAAACATTGAGGTCACTAGAATGCCATTGGTGTTGTCAGAATTAGGAGAGTGGCCGCGTTCACTTGTAGAGATTGCACGCATTCCCTAAAGAATGTAAAGGGCCACGAAGTCAAGCTGGACTTTTGGGGCTTTTGTCCGTGTGCGAAACATGCCGGGATCCAGTTTCTTTGCAGGACGCAGCAGAATGGTGTGGGGGGGTGGGAGTATGCCTTGTCTTTCCTGAATTTGGACTTAACCTCCCCAGATAAGACCAATGAGATACTGTTGTATGTGAGGAGGGGGAAGGAAAGGCAACTTAGAAACTGGCACAGTTCTAGAAGTGGGCCAAAAATGTTTTTTGTTTTTTGTTTTAAATTTTGATGAAGCAATTTGGCAAAATCTATCAAAATTAAAAATTAAAATTAAATACAGTGGGGACAGGGTTTCTCTTTGTAGCAATGAAAATATTTTGGAATTAGATAGTGGGGAGGGGTGCACAATCTTGTGACTGTACTAAAAAAAAAACACTGAATTATACCTTTTAAAAAAGCAAATGTTATGCTTTATGAATAATTTCTGTTGTGGTGTATGTAAGTGTTGAACCACCGTATTGCACACTTATGGTTACACTGCATGTTAACGAACCATAATTTAAATTAAAACTCTAAAGTCGATTTTTTACATTAAAAATAAACAATAAATAGCCCTTTGACCCAGCTTTTCCATTTCTAATACTTCACTATGTAAATCCACTCTAAGTATGCAGAATGCTCTCTGAACCACTTTTCATTATCCGTCTGTGGCAAAAACCTAAATGTCCCTCAATAAGAGACACAAGGCAGGTGATCAAAGAGAATGATGCAGTTCTTTTTTTTTTTTTTAATTTTTTTTTTAACGTTTATTTATTTTTGAGACAGAGAGAGACAAAGCATGAACAGGGGAGGGTCAGAGAGAGGGAGACACAGAATCTGAAGCAGGCTCCAGGCTCTGAGCCATCAGCACAGAGCCTGACACGGGGCTTGAACTCACGAACCACGAGATCATGACCTGAGCCGAAGTCGGACACTTAACCCACTGAGCCACCCAGGCGCCCCGAGAATGATGCAGTTCTATATGTACTGATAGGAAATGACCACCAGGATGTCTTGTCAGGTAAGAGGAGCAAGTTGCAGAACAACATGTATGAGACGCTACTCTTTGTGTAAAAGGCGTTAACATACTTGTTCATCCCCCCTCTGGAAGGATATACAGCAAAGGAGAGGAAAGGGGGTGGCTGGGGGTGGAGGCAGGTGAGAGACTTCCACTGCCCTGTACACCTGTGTACCTTTTGAACTGTGTACGATAGACCTGTCTTAGCCAGTAAACAATAATAACAAAATATACGCTATAATAAAAAAAAATACTTCGTACTGCATATAACACATGATGTAGTAGATAACACCACCGGCGAAGCTCATAGCACACAGTGCATGTGAATTAATAGCCATAGCACTAGAGTGCCATGTGGCAAAGTGATTCCTTAAGGGCTAGAATGATATATTCTTTGGGTGGTTCATTCATTCATTTAACCTTAGAACCTCTGTGTTTTTTTTTTTATTTCTACAATGAGAATAATAATAGTAGCTCCTTTAAGGGGTGGTTGGAAGGGCTAAATGTGATAGAATGTGCAGAGCTCCTAGTTACGGTGTTGGGCACATAGTCAACAGCACTGATTGGCTGTCACTACAGTTACTGTCCAGGTGCTGCCAGGATGTGCCACCTAGATGCCGAGGAAAGGAGGAAAAGATAAGGTCTTTGATGAGCTTACACTTTTAAAAGGGCCCAGAGTGCAAACAGTTAATGATCATGCAGTATGAAATTCTGTTTAATTGCAAGAGCAGAGGCAAAGGGGTAAAGAAGCAATGCAACCTGCCTAACAAAGGGAAGAGAAACTCTGCAATGTCGTGTTTGTACTGAGGCTTGGAGGGCTGTGTCTTGGGGGGCCTTCAAGACAATCCCCAAGTTCAGTGATTAACGGCGATTCAGCGACTCAGTGTGTGGTTGCACTTACAGCTATGATCCACTCTAGGGCGGGGATAAAGAGCAAACTCCATGGGTAAAGTCTGGAGGAAACCAGGCAACATTCCAAGGGTCCTATCCCCGTGGAGTCGCACAGGACACACTTGATTCCCCTCGCAGTGAGTTGTGATAATACATGTGAAATATTGTCAGTTAGGTATGCTTATTAGAGACCCAGCACTTAGGGTTTTGGGGGGGACTGGCCACGTAAGCACCCTTTGCCTGCCGTGTACCAACAGTCCAGATTGCTAGATAGGGTGTTCAGCATAAACCCTTATTATTAGTACAGTATAAGCACAGTTAGCCACTTTTACCTGTTCTGGGAGTGGTGGGAACCCTCCCCAAATCCATGTCCAAACATCAGTCAGTGACCAACCTCATAAGCAGATCTTTTTAAAGGAGAGCACTCAGGTCTGCTATGTTAACTCTTTTCTGCACAGATGAGTAGGCATGTTTTTGTTTTTGTTTTTGGTTTTTTTTGAGAGATAGAGAGAGACGGAGTGTGAGCTAGGGACGGGCAGAGAGACTGGGAGACACAGAATCTGAAGCAGGATCCAGGCTCTGACCTGTCAGCACAGGGCCAGATGCAGGGCTTAAACCCACGGACACCAGATCATGACCTGAGCCAAAGTTAGACGCTCAGCCGACTGAGCCACCCAGGCGCCCCATGAGTAGGCATTTTAAGTGGAAAAAGAGGGAGGGAGGACATTCCAGGAAGAAGGAAAGCATCTACAGAGCCCCAGAAATAAGAAAGAGCATGACATATTCTGGAAACAAAGCTTTGTTCAGATTACAGAAGCATACACTGTGAGGGAATGTGGTGGGAGAAGGTTTATCAGTTACCTGGATCCCTAGGGTTGGAGTTTCCTGTGTGCTTTTGAAAGTTCCAGAAATGACATATCTGCAGTCTTTGTTGTTTTTTTGTTTTTGTTTTTGTTTTGAGAGAGAGAGAGAGAGAGCAGGAGCGAGAAAGGGGCAGAGAGAAAAGGAGAGAAAGAATCGTAAGCAGGATCTGCACCCAGTGCAGAGCCCTACACAGGACTTGATCTCATGACCATGAGATCATGACCTGAGCGGAAATCAAGGGTCAGACACTTAACCAGCCACCCAGGCACCCCTATGTATCTACAGTCTTAATAAGAATCTTATCTTTAACGACATGTCATTTAGATTACACTGTGGGACATTTTCATGTTCATGGATTATTGAAATTACTTTTTAAGGATTAAAATAATTTAAATAATGAATGTAGAGTTGCTTTGTTTGTTTCCATTTTAGAGAGAGAGAGCATGTGAGTGGGAGAGAGGGTCAGAGGAAGACAGAGGGAGACAATCCCAAGCAGCCTCCATGCTGTCAGCGCAGAGCCCAGTGCAGGGCTCAATCTTACAAACTGTGAGATCGTGACCTGAGCTGAGACTCAGAATCAGACACTCAACCTATTGAGCCACCCAGGCAGCCCTGTAGAGTTGCTTTGTAAGCGGTGATAGCCTTTATAAAAAGCTAGCCATTATTATTAGTCCCTGGAGGGTTATTTGTGGCAAATAGAAATGAAGTATCAGTGTAATGCCCATAATTACTGATTCTTTGTGCACAGTTCTCAGTGGCTCAACCTTTCTCCAGCTTTCTGATATCTAAAATGAAAAACCAACCGTGTGGAACTAACTTGGCAATGAAACACCTGAGTTTGAGCCTTGGGTCTACCATGTCCAGCTGTATGACTTTCAACATTTTGAATTTTCTTTTAAGTTAGGAAAGCTATTGTTATAAAAACAAATTCAAGAAATGCGAAGCATAAGTTAAAGGTTCCTCTTTACCCTCACTCCCTTCCGGATCCTTCCTTCCTCCCCAGATGAAACCATTGTTAACAGTTTGGCATTTGTTCTTCCAAACCCATTCTTACACATTTATAAGCATAAGGGTGTGTATTATGTGTGTCTGTGTGTGTTCGTATATGCCTACATATGTATGTGTGAATGTGCCTACAACTTGCAAATAATGGCAATTCTGCTGCTGCTTTTCCGATACCTGGTACCTCTTATCTCTACTTCTTGTCTTCATTCAATTGCTAGGCCTTCCAGTATACAGTGTTAAATCAGAGCAATGAAAGTGAACATTCTCGTCTTTCACAGTTAAATGGGAAAGCTAATATTTCATCACTAAGTGTGAGGCCTGCCAGATGTTGTAGGTGGATCAGTTTTATCCAGTGACAGCTTCCCTTCTAAGTTTTTATCAGGAATGTTGTTGAGTTTGGTTAAACGTTGTTTACCTTCATGAAGTGCTGATGTGGTATTCTCCTTTAATCTACTTAAAAAGTGAACTATATTAATACATTTCTTAATGTTGGATTCTCTTTACATTCTTGGAACTATCTATCTTAATCGTGGTGATTTATTCATTAAATTCACTAGTGGATTTGATTTGTGAATATTTTATTTTGAATTTTGGGCTTTTTTTTTTTTTAAATGAGTGCTCTTGTTCATGGCTCTCTTTTATTGTGCTAGACAAGGATTTTGCTAGTTTTGTGAAAGAAATTCAAAAGTTTCTTGTCTTTTAGCATGCTTTGAAACAGTTTGAAAAGCAGAAGAATCAGCGTCTTCTTGAAGGTTTGTTGAACTCCATCATAAGGCCAGCCCTTGTGGGGAGGGGTGGTCTTTGAGTACCTATTTTAGTCTCCTTTTTATTTCTAAAAAAAAGTGTAATATTTAATATATATAGGAAAATACATGTAACATACAAGTGAGTTATGAAGCAAAATAATAAAACAAATACCTCTGAGCCTACCACCCAACTAAGGAAATAAAACATTCTCAATGCTAGTGCCCCAGTCCATTCTCTTCTTTTCGCTCAGAGAAAATATGGTTGTCATTTTCTTGCCTTGAATATATATATTGTGTGTATATATATATATATAATTTTATAATATATATGCAATATTTATATATATGTAATTTTATCATACACATATGTATCTCTAATGAATATATTGTTTGATTTTGTTTGGTTTTGAGTTATATAAACATAGTATCTTGTTTTCCTTTATTCAACACAAGGATTATAGTTCATTCATTTTCACTGCTACGTAGTATTCTCTATGATAAACTATCTTTTCTTCTGTTGATAGATATTTGGGTTCTTTCTTGGTTGGTTTGTTTTCTGTTATAAATGATGCTGCTATGAGCAATTCAAAACATCTGTTCACAACAAACTGAGGGTTGATGGGGGGTGGGAGGGAGGGGAGGGTGGGTGATGGGCATTGAGGAGGGCACCTTTTGGGATGAGCACTGGGTGTTGTATGGAAACCAATTTAACAATAAATTTCATATATTGAGAAAGAAAAAACATCTGTTCACGTATACGTGCAAGGATTCCTTTAGGGTGTATACCTTGGAGTTGAATTAGTGGGTCAGAGAGTATGTGTTTAATTCCACAAGATAATATCAAATTGATTTATAACGTGGTTGTATCAGGTTTCACTTCTGCTAGCCCTGTTTAAGTGTTCTCAGTTATCTACCTCCTTGTTAATATCAGACAGATTAATTTTTGTTGGTACATTAGATATAACATGTTATTAGTGTATGTTGGTTGACATTTCTCTGATGAACAACTATTGCTGCAGTGTGAAATTTACATGGATACAAACTATTCATGTTTCTTCTCCTATGAGTTGCCTGTTCATGTCTGTTTCCTGATTTTAATGTGGTTCTTCTCTTTTTCACTACTGATTTAGTTCTTTATATATTTTGATTATGCATCCTTTGCTTATTATTCCATGTAATGTTTTCTAGTTTGTGCCTTGAATTTAAAATTTCGTACTATCTATTAATAAACAAAAGTCTTCAGTTTTAGCGTGCTTGAATTTAACAGTTATCATATATT